TTGGGCCCCTCACTCCCAGAAGGACAGGGAGGGGCTGGGGCATGTCCAGAGAAGGGCAATGAAGCTGATGAAGGGTCTGGAGCCCAAGGCTGATGGGGAGCAGCTGGGGGACCTGGGGGTGCTCAGCCTGGAGAATAGGAGGCTGAGGGGAGACCTTATCGCTCCCTACAACTGCCTGACAGGAGGGAGTAGTGAGGTAGGGGTCAGTCTCTTCTGCCAAGTAACAAGAGATAAGACAAGAGAAAATGGCCTCAATTTGCATCAGGGGAGGTTTAGATTGGATATTAGGAAAAATTTCTTCACTGAAAGGGTTGTCAAGCACTGGAAGAGGCTGCCCAGGGAAGTGGAGGAGACCCTAACCCTGGAGGTATTTAACAGACGTATAACTGTGGTGCTGAGGGACCTCATTTAGCAGTGGGCTTGGCAATACTGGGTTAATGGTTGGACTTGATGATCTTAAAGGCCTTTTCCAATCTAAGCAACTCTATGACTCACCACACGGCCCCAGCGGTTCCAGATACTGTAGGCACCATCATGCTCAAGAAGCTGGATGATGTAGAACTTGTTGTTGTTGGCGCTGATGTTGGTCTGGTTCAGGGTGCAGTCGTAGTCCTCGTAGACCTACAGCGAGCAGCATTGCCCGGGCTGGCACCTGGGCAGCGTTTGGGGATTGGGGATGGGGAGAGCAGAGCTGTCCCAGCAGGGACGCAGGGGGGTCACAAGGAAAATTGGGGCTGCCCCCATGTCAGCAGGGTGGGAGCAGCCTTGGGACTCCCCCCATCCCTCCTGCCCACCATCCCAGCCCCTCTGGGTACCCCAGCCCTGCTCTCACCCGGGCACCTGGTGCTGTGCTCAGGGGGCACAGCCCATCGATGGTGGCGGGGAGCTTCTCCTTGGGCGCAGTTTTCAGGACTGCCAAGGTGGAGGTCCAGGCATCATCCTCCTCTCCCCCCTTTGCTTTCTTGCCCTTTCCATCCGGCTGCTTTGGGTGGGATGCCTGGCGCTTGGATGCCATGGCTGAGCCACACGCGTGGGGCCAGCGAAGCTGTAATCTCCCGGAAAAATCCTCAGGGAGAGCAGAGTGAGAGGCGAGAGATTCCAAGCTGTCTTTCCGGGAAAGCCTGGCTGGGCTGTGCTGGAGGAGGGGATAGGACCTCTCTCTCCAAAATGTCTCAGCCTTGCCCCTCTGCTCAGGGTGGGAGGCAGAGCCCCTTGGCACCCTCCAGCCCCCGAGGGAGCCCAAAGGGGAGACACAGCCCAATGACGTGCAGCTGGGGGGAGCACGGGGTGGGAGCACAGCTGCCTGCACAGCAAACTCAAAAGAGTTGGGAGAGGACGAGGGTCTGCCGGAAGGGGAGGGGGTGCTTGGAGAGCCTTGCCTGGCCCCCCCCCCCTCACCAGGGACTCCCAACCTGCAAGAGTGTGTCCCCAAGGCTCCGCAAGCCCTGTGCCCCCAGGGGTGTGCAGGAGAGCAAAGCATGCAATGCCCCTCCCAAACAAGCAATGCCCACCAAGTTCCCCTCAAGCCCAGTGAAGGGGTGCAGCACCCTCCAGGGCGAGGGCACAGTGCTTTGATTTGGGGAGGGGGGGTGGGGCTTGGGCAGCCCCTCATCTGCTGTCCCCTCCCCCCCCCCCGGTCCCAGCTGAGCAGGGGGTGCAAAGGGGCAGCTGAGCAGGGAGCAGCCGTGTCCTACCTGCTCCCGCTGCCCAAGGCCAGCAAGCCCAGCGCCAGGCACAGCCGGCCCCTGCCAAAGAGCCTTCGGGCAGGGCAGGCAGCCCCAAGCGAAAGCAGGCAGCAGGCAGGGGTGACAGCAGGAGCTGCTGTCACGCCCCTGGGCAGGCCACGCCCCCTGCGGCAGCGCCTGCCTGCCTGCCTGCCAGGCTGTCCCCGGCCAAGGGGCAACCCTGCTGCCGGCCGCCCCTCCAGCCAGCCCCCCTCTGCCATGCTCTGGGACAGAGAAAACGGTCTTGAAAGAGTTAAAGCCTGCATCATTTTGCATGTTAAATCTCTTTTCTTGGGTGCCTGCCAAACAGGCAGTGCTGAGGATGAGGCAGGGAGGAGGACCAGAGACTGGCATCTGAACATGGAGGGTTCACAGCAATCACTGCCTTCTCCTGCCTGCAGACTGCCTTGCTGTAAGAGGCGCCCGTCCCCGGGCAGAGGCAGAGCTGCCCTTCCTGCTGGGGTCACAGAGGGGACAATGCTGCTGACATGTCCCTATGCTGTGGCAGATCCCAGGCTCAGCCACATCAGCCAGAGGCAGCGCAGGCAAGGGGACAGCCCTGTGCCTTTGGGGCAGAAAAAGTGATTTAGTTTTCCCAAGGCAGGTGCTCCCCCAAAAGGACTGCAGCCCATGGAGGGGCCTGTGCCAGGGCAGGCGAGATGAGTGAGAAGGAAGGAGCGGCAGGAGGAGACCAGAGGCTCCCATCCTGCATGCCACCCACTGACTCACACAAGGAAAGGGGAAGGAGTGAATGCACCGTGGCGAGAACACAGGGAGTGGAGACCGCAAGCGGGAGGGGGAGGCGGTGGGTGGCGTCGAGTCTGGGGAAGGAAAGGTGCTCTCCTGAGCACTCCTTTTGCTTTATGTCTTCTTTGTTTCTCCATTCCTGCGTCCATAGCTAAAAGGCCCCTTCAGTGGGCCCACCACCCTCTTCAGAGTTTCCCCGCTTCCCACTTCTATAGTCAATAGCTCAATGCCCAAGTGGAAACCCATAAGGAGTGGTGTCCTGCAAGGATTCATGCTGGGACCTATTCAACATCTTCAACAACACAGACAGTGGGACTGAGCACCCCCTCAGCAAGTCTGAGGGTGACACCAAGCTGAGTGGTGCAGTCGATTTGCTTGAGGGAAAGGATGCCATCCAGAGGGACCTGGACAACCTGGAGGAGTTGGGGTTGTTCATCCTGGAGAAGAGAAGGCTCCAGGGAGATCTTACTGTGGCCTTTCAATGTGTAAAGAGGGAGACTCTTTACTGGGGCTTGTAGTGACAGGACAAGGGGCAATGGCTTGAAACAGAAAGAGGGCGGGTTTAGATTTGCCATAAGGTAGAAAAGTTTTGCGGTGGTGGTGGTGAGACCAGGTTGTCCAGGGAAGCTGTGCATTCCCCATCCTTGGAGGTGCTCAAGGTCAGGTTGGATGGGGCTTCGAGCAGCTTCCTCTAGTGGAAGACGCCCCTGCCCACGGCAGGGGGGTTGGACTGGATGATCTTTGAAGGTCCCTTCAACCCAAACCATCCCGTGATCCCATGATCCACAGGAAGGCACGGGGAAGGGGGCAGAAACCCAGCCGGGAGACTCCCCCCCCCCCGCGCGCCCTACAGCTCCCGGCGTGCCCCGCGGCGGGCTCCCGCCCTCCGCCTGCGCACCGCTTGGAAACTTCCAGGCGGCGGGCGCGGGGCCTTCTGGGTAGAAGACGGCCAGTCACCTCGGCGCCATTTTGTGGCGAGGGAGTGAGGGGTTGCGCGCGTGTGCTCGGCGCCCTGTGGTGGCGGTTAGCGCTGCGCTGCGTGCTTGCGGATTGTGGACGGCGTCATGGGCTCGGATAAGCGGTGAGTGTGGGCGAGGGGAGAGAGGAAGGAGGGCGGAATGGAGGGAGAGAGGGGAGGGGGCGGGCGGGCGGCCCCGCGGGGTGGGCGATGGTGGGGGTCGCTGCGGCCTCTTCGCGGTCTGAGCTCGGCCCGGTGTGCCCTGCAGCGTGAGCAGGACAGAGCGGAGCGGCCGCTACGGCTCCATTGTAGAGAGGGAGGACCGTGATGAGCGGGAGTCGCGCAGCCGGCGCAGGGACTCCGACTATAAGAGGTCCAGTGAGGAGCGCCGCGGTGACCGCTACGATGACTACCGCGACTACGACAGCCGGGACTACGATTGCCGGGACTACGCCAGCCGGGATTGCCGAGACTACGACAGTCGCGACAGCCGAGACTACGATAGCCGAGACTATGACAGAGACTACGATAGTCGCGACTACGATAGCCCTGAGGTGAGTGGGGCGGGCGACCCGGGCTGGAGCGGGGGGAGAGCAGGGAGGGGCCGGGGAGGGGGCGCTGGTGGCCTCGCCCCGGGGTCCGGGGACGAGCCTTCCTGGGGCCAGGGGAGCCCGGTGGCCGTGTTGGCATCCCGGAGGTTTGCTAGGGTGAAGGGGGGTGTGTGTGTTTGAGCTCGGCGTTCTGCCCGAGGCCGTCAGGACTAAGCCCGAGAAAGATGCTGGTATGGGGAGTTGGTGGTTTGGTTTTGTTTTGCTTTGTTTTTATGGCATTGCGGGGGCATGCTGCTAGAAATTGGCGGTGGTTAATTCTGGACGCTGCCTTCTCAGAGGGAGCGGGAGCGCAGGAACAGTGACAAATCAGAAGATGGTTACCATTCTGATGGCGACTATGGAGAGCACGACTACAGGAACGACATTAATGATGAGAAAGAAAGCAAAACCATCATGTTACGTGGCCTTCCCATCACAGTTACAGAGAACGATGTAAGTAGCCAGGAAGGGGCTTTGCTTTTCTTGCATCCTGGGAAATCTGCGGCTTTGTGTTGGCAGGTCTGTGTGGTAGTCGCTGCTGCCATTTTGTAGAAAGCTGCATCATGGTGGCCCCCTCTCCAATGTGTTGGTCGCGCTGCCATTTTGAATCCTAAAAGGATTTAAACTGTCACTGTTAAGTGACAGAGGTCAGTTGAATGTTAAGCAGTTTCTTTCAAACGGCACAATCTCTGAATGGTCTTTTTTTTTCATGTATGTTTGGATGCTTTCCCTAAGTGTGGATTTATAAACTACCTGCTGTTTTTTGCTCTTCCGCATAGAAGGGTAGAGGCAGATTTCTCTCTTCTCCCCCCTCCCTGTCCCACCGAGGTTGAGGGGAGGGGGAGAGAGGATGACAGGAGGTACTTGAATTTTTTTGGGTTTATGTTGAAGCCAGAAGCCCTGACTGGTGGGGTTACACACACACGCTGAGCTCCTCGGTGAAGTAAGGTGTTGCACAAAGCTGCTTTGTGTGGGTACAGCTGTGGAAGTCACAAAATGGCTGCTGAGGAGCTGACGGAGCAAGTACAAATCAGCTTGGTAGATGGTTGTCTTAACTTTTTTTGATAGAAAGATATTGAAGGTGATCAGCTTTGAGCTTTCTTTTTTATTATTATTTTAGATTTTTTTCTTTGCAGGATTATTTTGATTACCAAGATACAAGCCTATAACAAATGAGGGGCGGGGGAAACCTTGTGAAAGCTGAGTTATTTCAGCTTGTTTTCAGGCAGACTCCACCTCTGCCTCCGAGATCTTTGTGCACCGATTGCTAATAGGAGAATCCTCTTACACCATTAATGCGATGGAATTTTTTTTTTTTGCTTTTTTTTTTCTTGACTACCCTCCTAATATTGAGTGTTCTTTTTAATCATCGTGTGCTGGTCTAATATTTTTGGAAGTGCTTGATAAATTGTTGGCTCCTGCATCCAAATGAGACAACCCCGTCAGATGCTACACAGAACATTTCAGATTTTTTTTGTTTCTGAGGTATTAATGTTGTAGCCCTACAGTTCTGCAAATAACTATAGCATAATTTATGGGAAAGTTTTGATTCTGGACTCACCTTTAGAGTGTAGATGATACGTCTTGGAACTGCTAGTTTTGCTTAAGTTAACATCACTTAGGCGCTTCAGATTGTGTACGTATTTTCTGGCTTTTTCCACTTTTTTCATGAAAAACTACTTCAATTCAGGAGGTCTGTTCCAGTCAGCATGTCAATGGGCAGCTTCAAATCAGTTTTGAGTCTGCTGAGCAGCTCTTTTGTACATAGTGTAGTTGGAGTTCTGCAAGAGCTGCTGAAAAACCTCCTTTTGTCTTCTGCTCTGACATTAAAAAATTAACATGTTTTTTTCCTGTATGCCTCTCCACAGGAATTTATATAGCCTGTGCCACAACTTAAGCAGCTTTGTTATGGCCAAAGAACTGATGTCTCTTTAGCTTGTTCTGTGATGACACATTTTTCACAAATCTACTCTGTCCCCTGAAAAACAGAAGGGGA